AGTTACAAACCGCCTCCAGAGAGCCTGTTCTGCACCAGCCCAGTGGAGCCAGACTGCAGCTAGAGCCCATCATCATCCTCATCTGGTTGTAAGTAGGCAATCTAGTATATTATTCGTGGCACTAAGCTCTAATTTACCACACATTAAAGAAACACTATAGTCCCCAGAACCACTTCAGCTTAATGTAGTGGTTCTGGTGTCTATAGCCTGTCCCTGCAGGCCTTTTAATGTAAACATGGTGGCACTGCAGCACTGGCGTTAGTTAACATGTCAAATCATATGGGTGGGGCATTGTGATGTCACATGGGGACGGCAACCCCATTTCTTTTGCCTGGGCTGCAAAACTCTTGTACCGCCCCCGTTTGGCTGAGTGGGGCTGTAAAGTGAGCTAGCCGTGCGACAGTGTCCCATGAAGAAAAGACGCGGCGCCAGTACAGCTCAAATTCAAGCAAAACAGCTGATAAACTGGCCTTGACGTAATGTGTATGTGTGTGGACTGTCTGCCTGTGACTGTGTGTGTGACTGGGTTCGCCCTGTAACTGAGTGGACTGTCTGTCTGTAACTGGAGTGTGTGACTGTGTCTGTAACTGAGTGTGTGACTGTCTGCCTGTAAATGTGTGTGTGGGGCTGCAGGGATTTTGTAGAAGGGGGTGGGGGTTTTGCATTGGGACAGGAGTCTTTATAAGGGGGGATAAGCAGGGGATTTGTGGAAGGGGGTTGCGGGGGTTTTGTAGATGGGGCAGTACAGGATTTGTAGAAGGGCAGGACAAAGGTTTTGTAGGAGGGGCTGACAGCGGTTTTGCAAAGTTTACAAATTGTAAAAATAAAAGAAATAAAACCTTTAACATTTTTTACAGGTTTTTTTTTGGGGGGGTGGGGGTGGAGGGGGGGTGCCAAGCACAGGATCCGCCCCGGGTGCCAAATGCTCTAGGTACGCCCCTGGAGTGAGGGGTAGCTGGGACAGTATTATTATCTCAGTAAGTGAGTGAGGGGTAGCTGGGACAGTATTATTATCTCAGTAAGTGAGTGAGGGGTAACTGGGGCAGTACTATAATCTCAGTAAGTGAGTGAAAGGTGTAGGTCACCACAGGTAACCCAACCAGTTACGTCCGCTAATTCCCTTCCCTTAGCTGGTCAGGAACCATTTAGAATACAAAGAGACCCATTTCCCCCACCCCAGTAACTGGATGACACAATCCTGGAGGTACAAAAACACTTTATTGGCCACACACACGGCTTTTATGCATAACCCCGTGCAAAGGGTTGACCACTCAAACATACAAGGTCACATCCCAGGATCCTCCCCCTTCCTGGGACCCTAGCACGGGAAGGGACTCTACTGAAAAGGGTTTCCCACACGAGCCGGGGGTCTTCTTCCTAGTAGCCTCTGTGCCTAGGAGTCCAGGCACCGTCCCTTTGTCTCCCACACACATAAAAGCACCTGCGGGAAGAGAGCTGGTCTCTTTGTCCCTGCAGGCATCAACAGCCCACCAACCTTGCCAGTGCCCCAGAAGTGTCCACACAAACCCCAGGAACCCTCATGAGGTCCCTGTGTGAAACCCTGCAAGGGAAGAGTCTCCTTTTGGGATACAAATGCTCCCCCGGGCGACGTTCATCTATCTGAAATGGTGGACACCTAGGGGAGCGGTTTCCCTTCCCTTGCGGTTTCACACCTATGTTGTGAGTGCGAACACTCTCATTAATTGGTGTGAACGTTCTAATGGGGCACCGGGGAGGTCCTCGTAAAGGAAACAATCCACGAATGCTCCCCCTGTCTGGCGTTCGTCTGTACGAATGGCAGCCACCCAGAGAAGCACTCACTAATTGTTTCCCTTTGCGGTTTGACACTTATGCTGCGAGGTGTGAACGTTCTAACCTAACATTTTAAAGGAGGTATTGGGGTGGTCCCCGTTCAGAAAGTGAATGAATTCCCTTTGTGGAGGACCTCCCAATCGGGGAGCGGGCACAATAAACGAAAGGATATGGAAACACACATAATATAAAGAAAGGGCAATTCACGGACAGACAGTGGTTCTGCCACAAAGGGTGTTTGGGGCAGATTAGCTCTTCGGGTATTTAGATTTGGGTGAAGACAATGCTTTCAGCCCCAGTATTTAAATATTACTCACAATAAACACTATATTTTGGATAATCATATTCCTATTTTAACAATTACCTTTGCCATATTCTTTCCACAGGACCAAGATAGTGATGTGAATTTACACTATGCCACCATTTTCCCTGCTAATAAAGGTACAGTGAGAAAGACCCCGCAGCAAAGGACGCTGGTCCGAGAGGAAGAGAGCACAGAGTATGCAGCAGTAAAAACTGCAAAGCCTGTGGTTCATCATACCCCCACGGCTGACCAGAACAATGTGGAAGAGCAATACGTGTTCTATGCTTCACTGCGTATGTCACCACCATAGACTGATACCCAGTGGCGTTGCCAGGGGGGGCCAGAGGGAGCCATGGCCCCCCTACATCATGCTGTGCCCCCTCAAATGCCAGCAACTTGCTGGCCATGTGCTTCAATTCTATTCCCTCGGACTGTAACAGTGTGTGAGTGTGTGACAGCCCGAGGGAGGGAATGCAGGACTGAGGGGCTGGTGCGCTGGGTGTTTTCAGCAGCTTCCCCGGCACAGGCCCCGCCCCCGACGTTAAGCAGCAGACCATGCTGCTGCTGGAAAGGAGGGAAGTTGGCTGTTTGACCCCCAGCAACAGCCTCCAGTGACTGGTAGGCTTAATATGTGTGTGTGTCTGCTAGTGAGGAAGCTTGTGTGTGTGTCAGTGTGTATGTGTATGGACTCAGCAGTCTGTGTGTGTGTGTGTGTGTCTGTCTGTCTGCTAGTGAGGAAGCTTGTGTGTGTGTGTCAGTGTGTGTGTGTATGGATTCAGCAGTCTGTGTGTGTGTGTGTATGGACTCAGCAGTGTATGTGTATGGACTCAGCAGTGTGTGTGTATGGACTCAGCAGTGTTTGTGTATGAACTCAGCAGTCTGTATGTGTGTATGGACTCAGCAGTGTGTGTGTGTGTATCGACTCAGCGGTGTATGTGTATGGACTCAATAGTGTGTGTGTATGGACTCAAAAGTCTGTATGTGTGTGTGTGTGTGTGTGTGTATGGACTCAGCAGTCTGTGTGTGTGTGTATGGACTCAGCAGTCTGTGTGTGTGTGTATGGACTCAACAGTCTGTCTGTGTGTGTCTGTGTGTATGGACTCAGCAGTCTGTAAGTGTGTATGGACTCAGCAGTCCGTGTGTGTGTGTATGGACTCAGCAGTCCGTGTGTGTGTGTGTGTGTATGGACTCAGCAGTCTGTCTGTGTGTATGGACTCAGCAGTTTGTCTGTGTGTATGGACTCAGCAGTCTGTGTGTGTGTGGACTCAGCAGTCTGTGTGTGTGTCTGTGTGTGTGTACTCAGCAGCCTGTGTGTGTGTGTTTGGACTCAGCCGTCTCTGTGTGTCTGTGTGTGTATGGTCTCAGCAGTCTGTGTGTGTGTATGGACTGTATCAAGGGAAATGAGTTTGTTTTTTAATAATCTTTGGTGGAAAATAATGAATTCTCCACCAGGGATTATTAAAAAAACAACAACACATTGTGTTGGGGGCGGGCTTAACATGCTGCAGGGGCGGGGTCAAACTGTGGTGAGGGCGGGGTTAAATGTGTCCCCCTACTTTAGTCCAAGGCCCACCATTTGCCCCCCCTAAAAATTAATCCTAGAGACGCCACTGCTGATACCCATAATGCAAAGCGGATTGCAAATGGCAGCCGGTCATCCGAGCTGCTATTTGTGTTTTTGGAGCTGATATACGGTTATGTACGAATCCCCTGAGTCACTCTGGGTGGTTTCTCCTTCAATAACTGTCTGAGAGAATAGAGGGTGCAAGAAGGTCACAGCATGGCGTAACAGTGACTGGGCCACCATTAGTCAAATAAACTGGAACCCACCCATTGCCAACAAATAATCTCTTGCACCCAAAGTAAAATAATAGCAAAAACATTTCTGGAAACATTGGCCAAATTTAAGGTCTATGACATCTGGCGTATCCTGAAATCTATGGAATATGACTACAGATACTAATAATAATAATAATAAATTAGTTGATATATAGTCGATTCATACTATCAGAATCAGATCTCATATATATAGAACGGATACTGATATTATCAATTCATTATATATCAACTATTTGATTATTATTCCTCCGTGGGTAGATTAATCGGGAATGTATTTTATTCTTTGATTATGTAATAAATTTTGACTTCTATTGTACATAATAGTGCAGGTATTTCTTTGACATATGCCTTTCAGTGGCCTGACATAGGTACAGAGGCGGCTCTAGACTTTATGAGGCCTTAGGCGAAACTCAAACATGAGGCCCCACTAACAAAAAAGTGTTACATATACACATTGATGCACAGTTTACCTGTGTATGTGCCTGAGAGTGTGTCTGACAGAGAGTATCCTTGTGTGTGAACGTATGTCTCTGTGAGCATGTCTGCGTTTTTGTCTGAGACCCTATGTGTATGGGGTAGCTGCTTGAAGTGTGTTGTGTGTATGGGGGGGTGATGGTGAGAGGCGGGTGATGGTGACAGGGAGGTGATGGTGACAGGGAGGTGATGGTGGGGGGGTAAATGAGGAGGGGTGATGTGAGAAGGAGGGGGGTGATGGTGAGTTGATGCTGAGGGTGGTGGGGGGGTGAGGGTGGGGGTGGTGATGCTGGGGGGTGGAGGGTGGGGGGTGATGGTGAGAGGCTGGTGATGGTGACAGGGAGGTGATGGTGTGGGGGGGTAGTGAGGAGGGTGATGTGAGAAGGAGGGGGGTGATGGTGAGTTGATGCTGAGGGTGGGGGTGGTGATGCTGAGGTGGGGGTTAGTGATGCTGAGGGGGGGGGGGGGTAGTGAGGCTGTGGGTGGAAGGGGTGAGGCTGTGGGTGGAAGGGGTGAGGCTGTGGGTGGTAGTGAGTGAGGGTGGTGTGGGTGGTAGTGAGACTGAGGGCGGTTGGGGGTGGTGATGCTGAGGGTGGTGGGGGTGATGCTTAGTGTGGTGGGGGGGTGATTCTGAGGGTGGTGATGCTGAGGGTGTGGGGGGTAGTGAGGCTGGGGGTGGTGTGGGGGGTAGTGAGGTCAGAGAGATCAGATGAGTCCTTCAGGACTGTAGTGGACACTGAATACACTAGCCTAGCTATCAATTTCCCTATCAAATCAGCAGCAGCTACACTGTCCCTCCTCTCACTAAGAATGCAGCTTCACAATGAATGTAAAATGGATGCTGTCCAGGAGGTGGGAGGGTCTGGGAGGGAGGGTCTGCTGCTGATTGGCTGGAATGTGTCTGCTGACTGTGAGGTACAGGGTCAAAGTTTACTCAATGATGACGAATAGGGGGCGGACCGAACAGCGCATATGTTCGCCGTCCGTGGCGAACAAGCGTTGTTCGCCAGGAACTATTCGCCGGCGAACCGTCCGGGACATCACTAGTGATGACGTATGCAAATCCATGTCATCAACCTGGTCTAAGGAGGCAGAGCCATAAAAAGGCTTTGATATGCATCAGCTCTATTTGGACAGAATGACAGAAGGAGGAGCACTCGCATGGAGACGGCGTTTGTGTAAGTATACTAAGCGCATAGGAAAATGCCTCTGATATTCTCATCAGGTGGGGTGCCGTGACACTAGCCAACACAGTAAAATAAGAAAATTATTTTAAAGAAACAAACTGTATCCACAAACTATTTCTTTTGTCTGTTTTTCTGGATTTAAGGATTATTTGCCTAGTCTCTACTCTAGTAAGGATTCAAGCTATATTTTTCCTGTTCGATAAGGAGAGACAGCTTTCATAAAAGCCGAGCTGAGCACAGTTAGTCTGAGTGATGTCACATTACATCCTGTCCCTCAGACTCATTATACCAAGTGTGTCTATGAGCGAGATAGAAAAGCTGCTTCTGCTGTTAGAGTATGCAGAAACCAACTGTCCATTGGAAGCCATCGCTGTCTGCTTGAAGTCAGGGCCATCTTTAATACTAATTGGACCCTGGGCAGGCATTTGCTTGGGCCCCCTGGGCCTAGCATGCAGTCGTGCACTCCGACCCCACACAAAAAAAACCCAACACAAAAAAAAACCAAATAAAAACACACTTAGCCACACTCATTTTTACTGAGACAAAATACACACACACAGATGCAGACACAGACATACATAGAGATACACACATACACAGGTACAGACATACAAAGACAGATACATATACACACACAAGTGCATACACAGACACACATGCAGATACACATTTACACACATTCACTCACTGACAAACATGCAGATAAACAGACACACATACAGATAAACAGACAAATACACTGACAAACATGCAGATACACACAATAACATAAACATACAGATACATACAGACCCACATGCAGATACACAGACACAATAACACACATACATATACAGATGCAAAGATACACACTAATACACATACAGATACACAGACAACTACACTGACACACATGCAGATACACAGACACACAGAATGATACACATTTGGATACACTGACACATACAAACATTTACACGCACAGATACACATACAAACACACAGATACACATACAGACAAATCCACACACACAGATAAACATACAGACAAA